CTCTTCCGGTCTCTGTTGCCATTGCTCTTTTGTTTTGTTATTTGCCAGATGACATAATTCGGTTGAATAAAAAAGAGCAACACACAAAAGGGAAACAACCCAACAAAAATCAACAAACACTCTGCCGGCGAAGGACTCCTCGAACACAAGGAAAAACGAAAATTCGTTCCAGAAACATAAACGGTATTTTACATTTCTTCATGTTGTTGCCTTGTCGACACGTTATGCATACCTATTAAAATGTTACAGGCGGTGTGTTCCAAGTTGGAGGGGGAGGAGCAGCAACTAAATTAAGACCTCGGGCCATCCCGGGTGTCCGGCGAATTCAGGGAGTTGTCACCGGTCTGGCAGCCCGGAGAAATGCGACCCTCCTCAGGCGACCTGCTCAGGTGACTTCGAACAGGACGTAACCTTATTCACATCCCTTCATCAATTAGATACAGTAGCAATAACTTGTATTTGCAAAAGCTGGGTGATTACTATTCACTTGGGATAAATTGGCAAGGACGGCCTGCTTTTTGGTGATTTTGCCATGTTACGTTGCAAGTTATTTATTTTTCTTTGCTTTGTGTTGTGAGCCAAAATTGAGAGGAAAAATTATAGTCTATGTATCATTATTACATTCCATAGCCAACAGGGGGCGATATAATAAAAAAATTAAAGTTGCACAGTAAGCGGCAGTAATAGTTGTATTTCACGTAGGGTGAAGAATATACAACTGTTAGTCTTGCTATATCATCTGTCTACATGTGTTGCTGCAACGTGTGTGTTCAAATATCCATTGCTTAAAGGGGAACAACACTGATGGCGTTTTGCATTATATTGTGTTAGCATTAAGCTATTGGAATGTTGAAAGGCAAAGTGATGTGGTTGTTTTAAATACATAACAGAATTTCAGGGCAAGTAAAATTGTCACTGTGAAGCTTCATGGCAGAGATTTTGCTTTGGCTTTTTTTCGCAATCAGAATGCGTTGACGCATTATTTCTTAAATCTTCGTAAACCTTACGACATACTCAATTAACAGAGATGGGAGAATTTTGCAACATTGAATGAACTTAAGTGCACCCATTTATGTTGAGCAATGTGCAGTGTATTAGTTGTATCTTAACAGATTACAATACACATTTAATTAAGTCTTATTGGGTTGTGGAAATGTTATTTAAAAAATGTATCTGTTTTTGTATATTTTTAGAGAACAAAACAAAAGCCCCAACCTTTTTTTCAATACACTCTGCGTGTTGAAGGAAAGGTTGGGGCTTCTGCTCTGTACAGAACCGCTGCCGTCACCAAGACGGACCCCAGTGGAACGCCAGTCAACAGACCATTTCAACAGCAACAACGGTGAGAAGACCTTTGCTACTCATCCTCAAAAGTTGATGAGAGGACAACTTGACTTCTTGGTTGTTTGACAAAATGAAAGTACATCGAATGGAATTAATTTTATGTGTTCCATTCACAAAGACATCTCCCTTGTGTGCATCAGACGGTTGCACGCCAGGCCACATTTCTTCATCACCGAGGACTCAAGGTGATGGGATGCGTGCGTCTGCTGATGAATCCAAGCATGTTGTGTCAGTGCCACAGTTTTGTAACTTCCTCTTTTTTGCTCTACGCCAGGTGCAAACTCTGGTACAGAAGCCAAATCCTCACAATCGTCCTGTTAGAACTCGCCCGTGAGTTGTTGTTTAATATCGTTGCTGTCAGGTGGAGTCCTCGCAATTCCAAAACTATGACTTATCGGGAAATAAAAACCAAAAAACAAACAAACAAACACTGCATCATTAAAGTTGATAGTAGGCCTTATATAGCCCATCCTACAATGTTGCGCATCAACACAACACATTCCCATAATCATGTTCAAATGCTAATTAAATATGCTCAAAAAAATCCTGACTTTATTTCACTGTCATTGATAGAATTTTTCATGACATGTTGCCACAGCCAGCTGTGCCCATTAAAATCTGCGCCAAGAACACCCATTAAATTGACAGAGGGTTTTCAACGTGTGTGTCTGCCACCATCGCCAGCCGGGTCAGCTCTGTGTTTGTTGCCAAAAAGTTGCGCTAAGCTCTATTTTTTGCTAAAAAAAAAAATATCAATGATGTCATCAATTAATCGTTGTCACATTTGTGTCAAATTTAATTAATCTTTTATCATTCGAAGCAGAATTTGGACGTAAGAGCTTTTCGCCAAAGGCTGTGTGCTGTGATTTGTCGAATGTACATGCAAGGATGCTCTGTCTGAGGTCATCAACAGCAAGGCTTATTTTCCCCCCCATTAATCCACTAGGTGGCGCACGTCTACAAGTAGCACCGGAGTTTTGACTGTATCCATCGACAACCCCACAGCCATGACTCAGCCTGAGTAAGACTGACAGGACACAAACAGAATGTGACACGCAGAAGGAATAAGAATTTTTGGACCTGCTTGCTCTCCGTAGGCCTCCTTCTGCCTGGACTCTGCATCCCGCGACGGCTCGCTTGGCCGCAAGTGACGTGGAAACTGCAGGGAAGAAAATACCGAAAGGAGTGCCTCTCCAATTTGACATCAACAGTGTTGGGAAACCAGTAAGTTTACAAAGCATAAGAACCTACGTACGACTGGGTCACTGCACTTTGGGGTGCTTTTTTTTTTTTTAAGGATGAAGCTAAAATTAACAGGATGAGCTAACATGTCACCCTTTATTTCCCCTTCTTCCAAAAGCAAACCTCAATGACCTTGAACGAGAGATTCCGCATCTTGAAAGAAGGACGTGCAAAAAAAAGTAAAGGCAACAGATTTGTTGTGGTGGACTAGATTTAAGGAGGAACTGCACATAAAAAAGAAAACGAGAGCTCGCAGAAGCAGCCCAACTCACCTTGACTTTCCCCTCAACAACAAGTTGTGTGTGTCAACTGAGAACAAAAAGCAACATAGACTTTTGATATTGTTGTATAGACAACAGTTGATGTTCCTGTTGCTTCTGTCAGAACCACAATGTACATGTTTTTTTTAAAAGAATGTTTTTGTAATTACTCAAAGGACATGCCTTCTCACGGTGTCATTTGACTCAACTTTATTGACAGAGATAACTATATTTAAAAACAACTACAGCGGAAGCGAATGACTACACATAAAGATAGAGCACAAATTATAATCTAAAAAAAATAAAATTGACTTTTCTAGTGAAAATATACTTTGGGGGAAAAAAAATTGGAACACTCCTGCTATATATATTAGCATTAGCACAGTGAAGTAGTGGTTATGATGTGTGCGTAATGTTAGAGAGGTTGTGGGCTGAGGCCCTTCTGTGTGGAGTTGGCATGTTTTCCTCACAAGTACCACCTTCATCAGTCCACGAATGTGCACGAGAGTCTTCGGACCCTTCGTGACAGACAGACAGAAAAGAGATTAAAAATGATCTGATTAGAGGGACTTTGTCCGTAGAACCTCTATGTGGTTGTTGAGCACAAATATTCAATTAAGTTACTAACTAGTCAAACAGGCGACAAACAAAAAAGCAAACTTGTCTGGAATTTGAATATTGCTTTTATTTAAATACAATAAAATTTGCAATGTAACAAAACTATTGGCATATGAAATTCAAACATCATTTCAATGAACAAAACATGGCTCACTTCATTTTGTGTGACTAGTGTCCGTAAACACCAGCATTTATTTTTCTCACTGCTGACGCCAACTCTGCTGTGATTGAACCTCTTTTACCCCCAAGCCACCCCACTTACACTGTTCACAGACTGACTTACAATAAGAGTGCTGAATAAAAATGAGGTAAGAAAGTGGTTTGAAGGTTACAGAACATGCTGAATGGCAACAAAAATATTTTGTGATGGCGTCACAAGAAGAAAAAGAGAAAATACACTACGAGGAAAAAGGTAGGGATATTGGACTTTGCGATGGTGTGTGTGTGTGTGTGGGGGGGGTTCTGGATGAATCTAAAATGCACTAGATCCTTTTCAGATGAACCTAATTTCAACGTAACGTTTGAATGCACTCAGTCCACTTGCCTTTCGGAGACTGGAAGAGTCACAGAAAGCATTGAAGTGGCCCGTTCTGGGAAGTCATCATGGCTTTGCACGAAAGCCTATTCTAAGAGTTTGGTGGTCATATTAGGCTTTCGGATGCACGGTTCGTCAAGAGCAGATCTTGTTTTGCGAAACTGGCCCCATCTTGTCAGCGGCCACTGAGCTTCCAGTGACATCAACAGGTTGCAACAGAGAGAGCGGAAGAGGCAGAGTGTGACAGAAAGGGAATTTTTGATCCATCCTGAAATTTCACCGGAAATCCCAATTATTTTTCCAAATAGTGTTCATGTGTGCCATTAGGAAAAAAAAAATTGAAGTGACAGATTTTTCCATCTTTGGTTACAAAGTAGGTTGAATGATTTCACAGCTTTCCCTTCAGCCCTGCGGCCAAGTGAAGGTGGGGAGGTGCGGCAAAACCATCTCAGTTTTCGCCGACGACTTCGGAATCAAGACGCCTCCTCCGGGGCACCGGATCAGATTTGATATCAGCAGATGAGCAGTCACCTATCGAGGCTTTTTAAGATTTGATAACATACATTCATACTGAGTCTTGTTCACTTGAAATTGGCAAGGGCAGCATGAAATCTGAGTTAGTGTTTCACGTTTGTCAGAATTCCATGTTGCTTTTCGGTTTGTTTTTTTCACGACTATAAGTGAGCGCAGGGGTTCTCAAACTTTCTGTGGCCAGGGGAAATTTTTTTCCAAGGATCCTCTCATCATCATAACACCAATTAAACATAACGACCATACGTAGCCATAAATTAGTGATTCGCTACCAGTGTGCCAGGAGTGGTCATAAGGCAGCAGGACATTCACCAAATTGTTCTGAAAATCACTGACTTTCAATAATGAATCTGGATTTTTTGATACCAGTGACACAGTGACAGGCAGAACAAATAACAGCTCTTCCACTCACGGACTCACTTTGTAACTTGTTTCTTCGAAAAACAAATTTCTGAAACTGCATCTTAAAAAAAATGTAACTTTGTATCTTTTATTTTGTAAAATTTGGTGTCTGTTTAATTGGCCGACGTCCCCCATATTGTTCGCTTAATAGCATAATTGCCCGAGTCATTTCTAACTTTCTGGGAAATTATGAAAAAAAAAATGTGCACGTGTCATCCAGGTCATGTGAATTTGCAAAGGTTGCTTCAAGGGAACTGGACTACTTTTCTTTCTTGGAATTTGTTGCGGATTCTCCCGTTTTGCGAAAACGTAAGAAAAAAAAACCCAGACATGGGCACTTTTGCTAATTAGGCTAAGAACTTTTAAAGTTTCCAGATAATGAATTAGCTTTGTTTTGCAGATCCAGACTCCAGTTTGAGAACCCCTGCTGTAAAGCATTGCTCCCCTGGGAAGGGCGGCATATCCCCCCCCCCCCCCCCCCAAACAGTGAAAAATCAAACAAACAAAGGGGCTCTTGTTTCATTCAATTCATTTACGAAGATAGCAGCCCCCCTACTGTAATAAATAAGTCACTTGACAGCAGAAGTCAAAAGATGAACTGAAGGGTTGATGTACAAGTAACGACAGAGTTGGCGCTCCATAGACGACTCTCTTTACAAGGATTCAGCAAGGCTAAAATCCCCCCTCCCCATGCCCCTCCCACCCCACCCTACTTTACTCACATGGATCTTCTTAAAAAAATATTTTTTGTGACAATCATTTGTCCCTTAACGTGAGGCAAAACTCCCTCCCTTTAACCTCTCCTTGGTGGACTTGTGCAGGTCTCAGATCAGTCTTGGAACCCTGCAGTTTTCCACACGTGGGGGTGGGAGGGGGGGGGGGTTGCCAAGTTTCAAAAATAAAACATCACCCCGAGTTCTCCGATACATGTTGTTTGATTCTGCCTCATGATGATTGCATTAACACTGGAAAGGCCCACGGTACAGACAAACACACGCGCACACACGCGCGCACGCACACACACTGCACTTTGTGGTCAAGCTGGTGGCTAAGAGGACAAAGGTTTCTTGAAACGTTTTTTTTTTCCTGTAGAATTCATATAGACGTTCGTAAACCCTCACCATTCCGCAGATCTCGTTGTAATTTAGTGCTCATTCCATTCTGCCCCAAGAAGGTGCCAAAGACACGGCCGATAGGAAAGTTGGGTTTGGTGTCAAGGGAGCGCATCGCTCACAAAAGGTTTGGGGCAATTGGCGTGGCGGGGGAAGATGAGATGAAGCCTAACACGCACTCTGACCTTTATTGGTGACTTCACATGACCTTCTCCTCCACTTCTGTGTCTTTCTGTGACTCTTCCAGTGGCACTCCAAGCTCAGCGGGCACTCCCCTCAAAGGCAAATGGCTTCCGAGCTTACAATGTTACCAGCAAGTTGCAAACAGAGAAACAAAGAGGCACTGAAAGGCACAGAAGTGGATATCCCTGAAAATATGGCTTCAAACACCTGTTGTGAATTTGGCTGTTCCGTTCCTTGTTCAAGCCCAATATTTGAGTCGGGTAGGTTGAAGTGAATTGAATTCGAAGGTCAGGAAGGAGCTACGTTTTGCCAGGGTTGTTAGCGGAAAGGCTTGCCTGAGCTAAAAAAAAAAAAGGTCTCATCTCGATACTGTTTCTAGTACACCTTTATGCTTGTGATTGTGGGTATCGTTCTGTTTCATGGATGGTCTCTGGTTTTTGTTAAAGCACTTTGTAAACACTTATTTTTTTCTTTTTTAGAGGTGCTGTAAAATGAAGTTATCTTCATTACTTCCGGTGCAATTTGTATAAATCCAATCATCCGGAAGCCATTTTATTTTAAGGGCAACGATGAGTTGGATTAAAGTTTTGGGTTGGCATCGCAATTGGCCACAGGGCTCCGTCCCGATCCCACGTGAATAGCCGGGGGTTGACCGTAATGGTAATGTCTCTTGGGTTTGTTTACACCCGTAGCACGTTTTGTCAAGCTGAGGTGACGTTGGGTTGCTGTTGGCTTGCGTCGAGCTGAGGATGAGTCTGCGGGGCCTTCGGGTGTTGCTGCTGCTGCTGTTGCTGTTGCTGCGTTTGAGACGGAAGCCCGGCCGCCGGCTGCTGTGGGGGCAGCGAGGGCTGAGACTGAGGCGGCGGTGCCGTCGGTGCGGGGCCGGTCGAAGCACCCCCAGACTGGGCGGGAAGCTGCGAGAGCTGCTCGCTGTTGGCCAGAGACTTCAACACGGCATTCTCCCGCTCCAGCACAGAGTTCCTCTCGAAGAGCTCTTTGATCTGCTCCTTTAAGACCTCCACCTCCTCCCGCACAGCGTACATCAGATGGCTTTTCACCAGGTCCTGACGACAAACAGAAGACGGTGTCTCTGATCTTGTGGTATCCCTTGATTTATACGTTTAGTTTGTTCCGCGATTAAGCTCGTAACTCCATTCACACACATGAAATCAAATTTCCCCAGCGAACCAATAATGTGCCATTGTCGCTAGCTGATGTGCACTGCTTACACTAATACCAGGTCTGTGAACACAGAGAATCAACGTTGCCAATTTCTCGCACAGCCGGTTTCCCAAACAGAGACTCGCAACTTTAACTCCCACATAAGAAACGGATATTATTTTGCAGACCCCCAGGGGTCTGGAAACCTTCTTTTAAGAACAACTGCTTTCACGTTCCCAAATTAAAAAGCATTCCAGCCAGATTCGCTTCTAAATGATGGTCTAAAGTTCCTTGATGGAAAAATGGGGAGAGTTACAAATGAATTCATGGAAACTGAAAGTAAGTTATTTTACAAAAAAACATCGTTTTCAGTGGGATGGCTGAACGTCTGTGAATTCCGAACCACTCATTGGATGCCATCTTGCAAAGAGGTTGCCATGTCTTGGATGGAGCTCAACTTCCCAGACACATTCAATTTCCCAGCTTATCAATTATTATGCACATGCCGACAGAATTTGTGTTGACGTAACAAAACCTCTCACACACACACACACACACACACACACACACACACACACACACAAAAATCACTTATAAAGCAAGTACTTACCATGGCCTGTTCAATTTTATTATCAATGGCAACAATATTTGTTCCAGAGGCACTGTAACAAAGAAGAAGGGAAAACAAAACAGGTCAGGTCGGAGGCACAAAACACAAGCGCTGGAGACACATCGTGAATGGAAATGTTTTAAATGTGTGCATTTCAACAATGTTCACAAAATATATATTTCACATCAAGCTCGGCTGCTACTCCCAATCAAATGTGGGTCAGGTTTTAAAGAGAAGCACAGACTAGGTTAGTGCAAATACCACACATTCCCATTTTGCGGTGAGAGCCAAAGCAATCCTTCAAATCGCGACCTTTAACTGCAACTATTTTAAAACTCCCAAGCCCTTGAAGCCATTATGTTTGCAGTCGTGCGGCCGGCATTTAAAATACCTGCAAGGCGGGCGACGGGAGAGCGGCAGGCTCGTCCCTCCGCGGGCCGGGCTGGCGGCACAGCATGGGACCTTGTAGGAAAATCTACACGGCATGCTTTGTCTGCCGGCACCGACCGCTTCCTTGGGCAGTTGCGAAAAAGAGAGCCACGGTGGCGGATGGGAGGTATTTAGTGGCTGCAAGCGTGACCGCATTTAGAATAAAGAAACATGAACCAACCACGCTGCGAGAGAGAGAACGAGAGAGAGAGTGAGGGAGAGACATTGGCTATGTTTAAAGTCACTCCCAGTGAGTTTTGATATTTCGTTGTAACTTTTTACAACATGGGCACATACCACCTAAAAAAATACTTGTCTGACCAAGTATCAGCGTCACAACCTACACTCAAATACAGGCCTCAGTGCTCATCAAAAACGAGAAACGAGAGGTTTGACTCCTAAAAAGTACATTTAATGTTCACCCTAAGTCAGTTGAAGATTCTGCAGAGTTTGACCATTAAAAGTCTAAAATTCTCCAACACAAGTGTTTTGCCACTGCCTTATTTTTAATCTGAAAAATAACCACTTGGAAGTGTAAAAAAAAATTTTTTTTTGAAGAGCGGCAGGCTCGTCCCTCCGCGGGCCGGGCTGGCGGCACAGCATGGGACCTTGTAGGAAAATCTACACGGCATGCTTTGTCTGCCGGCACCGACCGCTTCCTTGGGCAGTTGCGAAAAAGAGAGCCACGGTGGCGGATGGGAGGTATTTAGTGGCTGCAAGCGTGACCGCATTTAGAATAAAGAAACATGAACCAACCACGAAGCGAGAGAGAGAACGAGAGAGAGAGTGAGGGAGAGACATTGGCTATGTTTAAAGTCACTCCCAGTGAGTTTTGATATTTCGTTGTAACTTTTTACAACATGGGCACATACCACCTAAAAAAATACTTGTCTGACCAAGTATCAGCGTCACAACCTACACTCAAATACAGGCCTCAGTGCTCATCAAAAACGAGAAACGAGAGGTTTGACTCCTAAAAAGTACATTTAATGTTCACCCTAAGTCAGTTGAAGAGTCTGCAGAGTTTGACCATTAAAAGTCTAAAATTCTCCAACACAAGTGTTTTGCCACTGCCTTATTTTTAATCTGAAAAATAACCACTTGGAAGTGTAAAAAAAAAATAAAATAAAAATCACTACAAGGAATTGCGCAAAATATGTTCATCAAGTTAAAAGCACATTTTACCTTGACAGAAATGTTCTTTAATTCCGCAATGTCAAGATGCCTTTTTTTTCCCCATTGGGAAAAAAAAAAAAAAAAATGCCTTGACCGGCTGACAAATGAACCTTGACTGCCCTCTATTGGCCTAAAAAGAACAGTACAATTGCATGTTGCTATAACTCATTGCTTTAAAAACCTCCAAATGATTCTCCCTTTCAGGACAAGAAGTTCCCTTTCTTAATGGCCTTCATTTTATGGGACGGAGGTTAGTAGCGCTTTCAGTAGATGGTAGTCAAGAGGCCGCCCTGATGGAGCGGCACGATGCCTTCCCCCCACCATCAAACTGTCACATCATTTGTCCTATACGACTGACTTCATTGGAGACGACTGCGTGGGCGACGTGCCAAGTCACTGCACTGTGCAAAAGGTAAGTCTGGCGACTGAGACATTCAATGACTCCAACTAAAGAGAAACACACACACACACACACACACACACACCTCACATTATTCAGATGCAAGAATATACACGTATATGAGTTCCTAACTCGGTTCCATATTTCACATATATGATAGTATAGGACCCTCTAAAAGCCCTAAGCTCGCTGGCCAGTGACGTTGAACCCGAAGACCGACACAAGCCAAAATATACAAACCAGATTAAAATGAGTATGAGATGATTCATGAGGCGCTTGGTTGAAAAGATATTTGAAAACACTGAAGCGAGTCAGGATGGCCCTCGAGCTGAAACCATATTAGGAAAGCATCTGGAAACGAGAGTTGAACTTCCAGGAATTGCTGGCACAAAAGCAAAGACTTTTGAAGCAACAGCGTGAATGACTTGCGCTTTGTAGAGCGAGTCAGAGAGAGCCTGGCGAGACTGCGTCTCCTGACACACATGATCTTGTTTAAGCCGACGGAGCTCATGTCAAAGCGACAAAGAGCTTGTTTGAGTGGCTGACTTTCAAAACAAAACTCGCAGTGTAACTTTGCTGGGTCAGGGGCAGTGTACAAAGTAAACGGAGTCATTTCTAAGGCCTTATGCCACTGAGGGGCGAACAATTGGCTCTCTGCTCTGGCGCATTGAGAATTGCGTCGCGTAGAGTGACGCAGAGGAAATTTGAACACGATCGGTGTGTTTGGAGCGGTCCAAATCGGATATGAAACTACCTCCCAAATGTGGCTTCAATCCCAACATTAAAAGATAAATAAATAAATAATAATTTGGATTTCATGTTCTTTGTGAGTTTTCAGACTACAAAAGGGCCAACCGGTTTCAATCTGGATGGGGTAAAAAAAACAGATTTTGCCTGGCATTCTGAACAAGGCCTCAGATGTTGCACAGTTCTGTATGGGGCTGCAATGGTTATTTTAATCATCAGTTAATCGACAGATTAGTTTCATAAAAAAATGTTGACATTTCCATCACTTTATTGAAAAACAAGACAGTATTTCAAATCGGCACAAACTATTTATGAGTCAGTTACTGGTTTATAGTCTGTGACATGTCAGAAAAAAGGCAACCATGTTGACCTTTGTTTTCCAAAATAAACACAATGTTTTATTTTGATTCAAAACAAAGATAGTCAGTCCACTTTCATGCAGGACTACAAAAATTGGATAACATTTACTCCTCAGAAGCTGAAATTCTGAGCATTGGGACAATTTAAATTAATAAGGCGTCTTAACGATTCACCCATGATCAAAAATAATTGAACATTTATTTGATAATGCTGATCCTCGTGAGCATTAAGCGGATGGGATAAATGGATGGATTAGTTGGCCGTTCATTGTTGGCACCTCTCGTCTTGTACATCGAGAACATAACTATGATTCTATGAGTTTACCAGACAAAAAGCAGAGTGTCTCAAGAAATTACGGCTTGAATGAGCATTTCTTGAAGCTGACAAAAACAAGAGAAGGGATCCCAAACAACAACAACGTGAACCGCACAGAGAATAATAAAATTCATTCATGCCACATGAGTGGTCGGTCATGTGACCAGGAAAAGCTATAAAAGGCTTTGAGCGGCTTGCTTACTGGGAAGTGAAACTTGATGCGAGTGCTAAAAGTGGACAAGCGTTTGACATGTCATGATTCGGAGCTGCTTCCTAAACTAATCACCTCTCAATGGTCTTGCGGATGCCAGCTTGTTGTGGAAACTACTTGGAACAACGTGGCCAGATGCATTGAAGAAGGGAAAAAAAAAAACATATTGAAAAGAAGAGAACGCAATGAAATGAAAGTAAACACGTTCCAGACTTTTGAACAGCTCAGATTTGGATGCAAGATTACTCATAGGGAATAACGGAAATCCATAGGCGGGTCCTCGATCCTAAAACTTCGAATTAAGCCACGGATGAAAATTGGCTGCGGAACCTCTCACGCTGAGAAACACTTAAATCGCGTCACTTGGTGTCTGGCGGGCCGAATGCAATATCACAGACGTTCTTTATGCACGGCAACAGATGCGTTCGGGTTGTTTTTTTGGTGCTATACCAGGGGTGTCAAACTCATTTTTGTCGTGGGCCACATTTTAGTTGCCGTTTCTCTTTCTCCCGTTACGACTGAAAAAAAAAAAAAAAAGTCAATAATATCGGTTTATGCAACTATTGTTAAGTTACTGTAATGTAGTTCGTTCTAACCATTTCCAATAAAATGGCTGGCAACTACGATGTATAATGCAGTATGAACATTTATAGGTATGAAAAGCTGAATGTGGAATACAGGATTAAACACGTGTAGATGAAGACAAAAATGAAACAATTGTAGATATATTTTAAATGTATTTAGTGTTATCAATGCCTCCAGATGCTGTTCTCCTCTTGGACAACGATGCGCTCGTTCAATGTTGCATCTAATTGGTCAAAGTCGGATAAAAACATACGATCGCATGTCTTCGCGATACGCATATCGCACAGGCCACCATGACGGATGTTTTTCGCTATATCGCGTAGCCCTATTTAAGGTATGTTTTTTTTCCCCTAAACCGTTTGCAATTAAACGTGGGGAGCAATCAACTTATAGGTTTCATTCTACAACGGCAAGAGTGTCAGGAAAAGTGCAAGAGGAGGAAAAGTGAGGAAAAATTGGAGAGAAACAAAGATGTCATTGAGAAGTCTGTAGGCCAATTGCGCTTTTGCTGCCAAGCTTTTCCAAACTCATTTCATGCATGTGGCGAACAGCAAAGCTCTGGGCTACCGAACGAACACTGCACACACATTGTTGCACTCTCGCAAGGCCCCGCTCAGTCCATTCCAGTATAGTACTGTACCTATCACTGTGGGCCTTTGAGTCCCTTAATCTGGTGCCAGACTGGAAGGCCTGGTAGAAAGCCTTGGAGGGGTTCCTGTGTCAGCCACATTCAGGAAAGGGGGAAAAGAAAAAGAAATAAGGACAGATGAAATAGGGAAAACAAGACGCTTGTGTCATCAGCTGCTAAGAAATGGCAATTCAATTTCACCGTTTGGCCAATCATGTGACTTTGGAGAAAACAAACTTCCACATCATTGACCGAAACTTGGCCATGGTTGGTTCAGGTGTTCACCATGAGTAAGCTGGAGTGAAGATCACCTTTAACCTCCATTTTTCGTGTTCAACTGTTGATGCAAGTAACCCAATACAAAAAAGAAAAAAACCTGTGAGGTACTCTAACTTCAGGTTGAACAGCAGAACGCCGTGCAGTCAAAGATGGCACGCCATCGAGGCCAAAAAATACGACGCATGTCCTTCACTGACCACTCTAAAAGTGTTCTACTCCAGTCCTGTCGGTAGCAGTCAGCAGAAACTCGTTGAAAATCAATCTGGTGGGTCTCATAGCAAAATGTATCAGTTCTTCCTTGGCTCGTGCACTCTTTCTTTTCGTGGAACTCACTCAATTCAGAGTGATTCAAACCTCAGTGGAATGTTTACTGCGCACCTAATGGCGTAACCCCTGCGCAGAGATTCCCGATGTTTGGCGGCGAGAACACCGTGTCCTGCAGCAACGGATGTGTGTTGGAAAAAGGGAAAGGAAATCCCCACACTGTCCCCTCGTCGGCAACACCGCAACCCCCCCCCCCACACACACACACGCATCCAAACATTTGCAAACTTTTTGAAACGATTTTACAAACCGCAACGAGCAAATCCAAACAAACGCACTGCAACTTGGCAAACGGTGAGCAAGTGGACACACATCAACTCAACACATACGCACATCGCGCACACGCAGGAATAAGGAGTTGATTTACAGCATGTGTGTCAGCACATACACAAGGCTCCTGTCCTAGAAACCTAACACACACACAAACACACTTCCTCACATTACCTCATGACTAAACACTTTCACAAACCTCTCCCTATGCTCGAGCACACTTTTACTTTGCGGGCAACCATGCTTAAGACCCCAAAGACACGCACGCACGTACGTGCAATTCCATGCCACTCCCCCGAGACAAACTCCTTTCACAGCTTAAAGCTCAGAGCTTCGAGAAAGCCAGCAACGGGCTGAAATGATCAAGGTCAGATGACTTGGAGTGAGTCGCCGCTCCTTGTTTTCGAGCAACAAACAATACCATGAAAGTGCGGTTTGGTTTGAAAAATGATACATTCAACGGTCACAATTTTAGAGACACGAGCCAAATCTGGTCACAGACAGTACACAAGGTCTTGACGAGAAGATAATGCCAGATTTTTTTTTTTTTATGTACATGATGACCTTCCAAAAATATTGACCACTTTTTTTTTTTGCCTTAATATTTAAGATCATCATCATCATTGGCTAAAATCGCCTTCACTTGACAGATCACACAATTATACCACTGAAATTAAATTAGTAATAAATATAATAATTGCTTGCGGCATTTTTTTGGTCTCCTATTTATTGTGACATTCTCAAAACATAAAAAATGAAAAATATTAGGGTCTTCCACAAAGGTTGAATCAAGGTGATGAATTTGCTTAAATATTCAAATATGACTTAGGTAGCAATGCTATCAGGCTAACGGTATTCAGTCTTTTTTTTTGTGTGTGTGTGCTTTCTGAATAAACAAACAAAAAAAGACCTATGCTATTACATGAGGAAGACGATGAAGTAGTTTATATTTTTACAGGGGAGCATCAAATACTCTCGGGTTTTCGCCCCGTCTCGAACCCCACGAAGAACACATTTATAAACCCTCTGAGAAATCTAGTTAAGTGCGCTTTGTGAGGCTTCAAAATCTTCGCAAATGGAGGGCAAAGTTAGAGGGGAGATTTACATGGAGACTACCGTTAATCGGGACGCAAGGGGTGCAGGTGGGGGTAAGGGAGGGATTAACTGGAGTGTTGAAAGCTCCAACTGCTGGCGCTCACGACCTGAGCAACATCTATCCACGTGCCGCTGAGAAGAAGTAGGTCAAACCTATTTGAATTGGCTTGGTTACCTCGTTTCAGTTTTTTGTTTTTTTTGTTTTGTTTTTTTTGCGAAGGATCTGGATTCGAGGAGAGAGCGCATGGGAAATCCCAGGCTACAAACTACTCATCGTCCCATTCACACAGTCCACTTCCAATGGGAAATTCTCTTGACGACGTGATGAGCGCGAGGCCGTACAGTAGTTTCAAATTCCAAGAAGTTGCACCCCAGCTCGCTTCTGAGCACAGGACCTATCGCAACATAAAAGCAAGTTGTCAAAGTATGAAGTCATTCAGGCAAGAGCAGGACCGAAACGAGAACAGGAGACCAAATGCTGACCGACAGAACACCGGGGTGAACCTACGGGGACAGTCCAGCCCATTTTCCACGATACGGTTGTGTCTCGCCGTGTCACAGTTGTACACGCTTTTTGTTTCCACTGTCAAAATCAGGTATTGCAAGATACAATGATGGTCCATCCTGGACACTGCACTGTTCCAATTCAGAATGTCCACTTTGCTAACCATTCGCTTGCTCATCAAATCTCCTCAACACCACCTTGACTTGTCCGGTCTCTTGTGCGATTATCTGAATCCCCCCGACCCTTCAAACACAAACAGTTCATGCAAGCTACGCTATAAAAAAATGAGGCAATTCCAGGAATACGATAGAACAATGTTGCATTGTTCTTTTACACCTTCGGTAGCAAAAACCATCTGGGGAAACATTAAAGCAGCGTGAATCATAATCCAAGTATGCAAGCAGCATCTTGGTTTTCATGCCTTTGCTATCTCTGCAGTTTAGTCTGAAGGACTGCGGCGGCAAGGTGAAGGAGGGGAATTTTATCTACAGGGCCGGGTTACTTAAACTATGTTCGTAGCAATCAATAGAGCGTTTGAGCTTTGCTATTTAAAACACATGATGCCATCAACATGAATCAAACTGGAAGGTAAAGGGCGTTTGCTATTGAGTGTGGTTTGTGTTCCACGGGGGAAGAAACATAATTAGTGCAGTGGAAATGTAGAAATACAGCAGAGTGTGCAGGGGTGACTGAAGCATAGCGCAAATGCCTGTTGAAGTAGCTACACGGGTCATCCCTCCGCAGCTTCCTCGACCTCTTTGGAGTACAACACGGTTACTGCAGAGAAGAAACGTCATTCAGCACCTCGACGGCTATCACGGCTCATCTGTCAAGCGCTGATCCGAAGGTACCCGATGAGACCGCACCCAATCGTTCTATATTACCTAACAGGTAGATATGAAATGTTGGAGAATTTCAGGAGGGCCAAAAATGGAATGTATAGAAAATGTGTGTCACAAGGGCAGTTGGTCGGCACACCCCGCTGACAGAGCTCTTATCAGCAAAATAGTATCATAGTGGAAAGAGTGCTGCTTCATGTCCATGTCCGATAGGGCTTTGCTGAGGTAAGGGACCCCGCTCTTATCAGTAAGGGAGCTGGGTCCCTTCAGAGAGAAACAGAATTCGGAGAAGGGCGGGGGGGGAAAAAAAAAAAAAGAACTTCACCAGAGTTGTCTTCCAAACAAACGCATACATTGAGAACAATAAGTGGTGCTTACACACTGCACTTGGTTTCAGCGGCATCACCCGCAGAGCGGAGCACAGGGACGACGCAGGCACAGCGCAAGCTTGCCCTTATTTGGCACCGTCAAACAGGAAGAAAACTGGTGCATCAAGTAGCCAATAGCTCGGCAATACTGTACATATTTGTTACATTTCAACGGAAAGCCCTGGCTTTTCTAATAATGAGGAGGAGGGAGGAGATGAACAGCGGCTAAAAAAAAAGGGTATGATGTCATCCAATTGTAACGGTATGGCAGAATCTGGGGGAGTTTAGGCCCAGTGGAGAGCCGCAGCTCCATGAAAGCTGCTTCAATGTGTACTTTAGGGTGAGCAAGGAGCAGTTCGTTTGTTACCTCATCATGGTATGTCATCGATGTTTCAGATCTCCAGACGCCGAGACACCATGTTACTATAATTAGTGGTCCTTCCATTTTCTGCTACGTGCCATTTATACCATACGACCCGCCAAAATCTCTTTTTTCCCACTCTTAAATCACTCTGTCACCATCCTCCCTTATTAAATGTGCTATGATGTCCTCAACGGGCAGCGCAAGTGCCTCATCTGACGCTCTTGTTTACATTTCTTTTAGCAGTCACGTGACGGTACCGATGCTGATCGCTTTGGTCACTATAACGGATATGAAATGTTCATTCTAAATAGAATCTGCAGAAAGGACCTATTACCTGCAGGATGAAGTGAAACAATAGCTCGTGAACACAAAAGCTTCTAATGGGACTCATGTGCACGATTGTGTTTTTGAGTAAGCGGAGGAAGTGATGATTGTCTTCTACACATGCTCGACCTCAACTTTTGAGCACAAGTGAGAAACATCTGACATGTTTCCTTCCTCTTATCACTTCCTCCGAAACGTTGTCAACCCGTGCACATCTAACTCATGCTATGGGAAGTACCTGCTTTTTTTTTTTTTTAATTTAAGAGGCTCAACCAGTTCAGGGTGTACACCGCCTCCCGCCAAAAGTCAGCTGGGTTAGGCTCCAGCACCCCTGTGACCCTTACTGAGGATAAGCAGTACAGAGAATGGCTGGACCGTTGGATTATTGTACTGGTATGTGTGCAAATGTTTGGCCACTTAAAAGAAGATCATTTTGTTTCATTATTGTACGGCATTTTTAATGATGACTGAGTGATTCTGCTCAGGACATCAGTGGCACTCGATTGTGATACCGCACGGGCATGTCGTTGACAATGTAAATCTCGCCACGGATGGGAGCTTTTTAACAACACACAATTTGCAACGTAAAAGAAAGATATGAAATGTTGGAGAATTTCAGGAGGGCCAAAAATGGAATGTATAGAAAATGTGTGTCACAAGGGCAGTTGGTCGGCACACCCCGCTGACAGAGCTCTTATCAGCAAAATAGTATCATAGTGGAAAGAGTGCTGCTTCATGTCCATGTCCGATAGGGCTTTGCTGAGGTAAGGGACCCCGCTCTTATCAGTAAGGGAGCTGGGTCCCTTCAGAGAGAAACAGAATTCGGAGAAGGGCGGGGGGGGAAAAAAAAAAAAAGAACTTCACCAGAGTTGTCTTCCAAACAAACGCATACATTGAGAACAATAAGTGGTGCTTACACACTGCACTTGGTTTCAGCGGCATCACCCGCAGAGCGGAGCACAGGGACGACGCAGGCACAGCGCAAGCTTGCCCTTATTTGGCACCGTCAAACAGGAAGAAAACTGGTGCATCAAGTAGCCAATAGCTCGGCAATACTGTACATATTTGTTACATTTCAACGGAAAGCCCTGGCTTTTCTAATAATGAGGAGGAGGGAGGAGATGAACAGCGGCTAAAAAAAAAGGGTATGATGTCATCCAATTGTAACGGTATGGCAGAATCTGGGGGAGTTTAGGCCCAGTGGAGAGCCGCAGCTCCATGAAAGCTGCTTCAATGTGTACTTTAGGGTGAGCAAGGAGCAGTTCGTTTGTTACCTCATCATGGTATGTCATCGATGTTTCAGATCTCCAGACGCCGAGACACCATGTTACTATAATTAGTGGTCCTTCCATTTTCTGCTACGTGCCATTTATACCATACGACCCGCCAAAATCTCTTTTTTCCCACTCTTAAATCACTCTGTCACCATCCTCCCTTATTAAATGTGCTATGATGTCCTCAACGGGCAGCGCAAGTGCCTCATCTGACGCTCTTGTTTACATTTCTTTTAGCAGTCACGTGACGGTACCGATGCTGATCGCTTTGGTCACTATAACGGATATGAAATGTTCATTCTAAATAGAATCTGCAGAAAGGACCTATTACCTGCAGGATGAAGTGAAACAATAGCTCGTGAACACAAAAGCTTCTAATGGGACTCATGTGCACGATTGTGTTTTTGAGTAAGCGGAGGAAGTGATGATTGTCTTCTACACATGCTCGACCTCAACTTTTGAGCACAAGTGAGAAACATCTGACATGTTTCCTTCCTCTTATCACTTCCTCCGAAACGTTGTCAACCCGTGCACATCTAACTCATGCTATGGGAAGTACCTGCTTTTTTTTTTTTTTAATTTAAGAGGCTCAACCAGTTCAGGGTGTACACCGCCTCCCGCCAAAAGTCAGCTGGGTTAGGCTCCAGCACCCCTGTGACCCTTACTGAGGATAAGCAGTACAGAGAATGGCTGGACCGTTGGATTATTGTACTGGTATGTGTGCAAATGTTTGGCCACTTAAAAGAAGATCATTTTGTTTCATTATTGTACGGCATTTTTAATGATGACTGAGTGATTCTGCTCAGGACATCAGTGGCACTCGATTGTGATACCGCACGGGCATGTCGTTGACAATGTAAATCTCGCCACGGATGGGAGCTTTTTAACAACACACAATTTGCAACGTAAAAGAAAAGAACATAGAACGTTACCTCTCCTCATCCCCGTCGACAGGTATGTGGATTCCAAACAGGCTATTGACAGTTGGGGCGGCGAGCTGTAGGCTCTCGGGCATGAGGGGCTTCACCAGATCCTTCCCAAACGACTGTGCATTTACAACCCCGTCGGATTTCCTTACGCCGCCCCCCTCAAACTGTCCAAATCCGGTTGTAAGGAGGCTGTGCCCCGCCAAGGCCCCTGCAGTTTTGCCTTGACTCATCTGACCTGAAGTCAAACTAGCTGCTGTCACCGTTGGCACGGCTGCGGTGGAGGCACTGGGCACAGCAGTTGGCACAGCAGGGGTCAGTCCGGAGCTCGCTGCAGTGACAGGCACATTTTGTACACTAGAAGATGCGGGGTGGTCGCCGTGGGGTTTGGACTGTCCGGTGGTGGCATACTGACCGTGAGGAGATCCCCCGCCCAATGCGGAGCCCGCGACGCTTCCCATTTCAATGGTCTGGCTCTGAGCTGTCTGTCCGGGGATAACTTTTCCGCCGCCAGCGACGTCCCCAAAATGACTGGGAGTAGAAATTCCTGTAGACCCCTGGGGCATAGCAGGAGAGGTTGCTTGTCCCACTGTCTGTGGCCCTGCGGACTGGCCGGACACCGACAGTGACTGGCCGGCAGTGAGTCCAGACTGCTGTTGATAGAACTCAGTCTGGTGATGTCCCACAGAGAGTTGGTAAGGTTGCGTCTGGGCTGATGCAGGCAAGATGGGGGGCCTCTGCATGTGAGGCAATCCGTTTCCAATGTTCTGGGATGCGGCGGGTTGGAGACTCGCCACTGCAGGCTGGACTGGGACAGATGTGGACTTGCTACTGGTTAGTGCAATCTGCGGGCCAGACCCGCTGACAGCATGTTGCCGGGTGATGAAGTTCTGATGCGCGGACGTCTCGGCTGGATGCAAGCGGACGACATCTGGTGAAGCACCGGAGGCCTGGCTTGTGTGTGTTATCGGGGCAATTACAGAGCCGCCGGTCTGCCCAAGCCCACTGTCTCTGTCTGCAGCAGCCTCGGACAGTGCGCTGGCGTCCCTCCTCATGCCATCAACAGTCCGATTCACTGCAGAACCATCTGACTCTTTCTCATAAAACTCTGTACACATCCACCGGCCTCTTCGGAAGGGTTCTCCAGTACCGTGGTCAAGTTTGATGACCCTGAAACGGGAAGTACAGGTCACTGTGGAGGCAGCGGGGGCAGCAGGAGGACCCGGACTGGGCACTGTAGCGGGATGGGAGACATTTACGGAGACAATGACAGGCCCAGGACTGGACGTCGGGGCAGCCTGTTGCTGTGCGCCAAGAGCCGTACCGGGCACCAGTGTTTTCCGGAACTCCCCCAAGGGATTGACTGACAGCACAGAGAAGTGAGGTAAATGCGACGGCGCCACAACTCCGGTCGCTTCTGCCTCGCCGACGTTATTCAACACTTCTTCGGATGAAGTCCTGTCACACGCCGTCTCATACTCAGTCCGGGACACACCGTACATCTCTGACGACACATCCTCGGCACGGGGCTCATCCGGGTCCTCAAGGCTCTCTGTGTCGTCCGCTGCCCCAATAGCAGCCACCTGGGCCTGAGTGACACTTGTGATCTGGAAACAGCTCTTCTTCTTGGCCGGCATTTTCGACATAGTTCCAGGCTGATTCCTCACCTCGAGTGTGTCGAGATCCTGCTCCACCAGAAAAGGAGAGGCTGACAATTACTCTGCAGGCCAATTTACGTCCTGTCCATCAGGTGGTTTTGTGGTTTTCTGGGTGTCAAAATTGATCCAAGAGTTACTGAGCGGCAGACTAGGTCATATTTTAGGATTAAAAGTAACTGAGGTGAATCTGCGCCATCCCTTTCACGTCTCCGGATGCGATCACCCCGCAGACGACGTCCAAATGCCGGACGGAGTTGCCTCAAAGTCCGGGGGCGCCGTCCTTGCCTTGCCTGCTCGTCTCCCCGAGTCGGTGCCGCTGTCGAGTGTGCTCCGCCGCTACGAGAGGGAACTACTCGAGGGCTGAGGAGGGCCCCGCAGCCCTCGCAAAAAGCTATCGAGTCAAGCCAACTGGCTGCCGCACACTCCCCCCTACGTCGGAACTAGTAAGCGAGACATCTTCTCCAAAGCACTCCCCCACGCACTGTCCACGCGCTTCACCGCTCACTTACCATAAACGCATTTACGGTCGAGCGAAGGAAAGGAAAAAAAAAGGCCCAGAGCGTCACAGTTTTAGAATAACGAGGATACAACGACAAGGGCAGCACTATTGCCTCACTGACTCCGTGACAAGATGGCTCTGTTCGTATGTTGTATGCTACCGCGGTGCATGATGGGTAGACTAGTGCGGCCGGTGATGCCTTCAAGTGCCAGGAGGAAAAGTCGGAAACAATACAAGTCGCCAAGAGAACGGATTTTGTCTGAGAACGGGAGTGGCGGGTGGCAGACTCGTGAGACCCCAAAAAACTGTGACTTGATGTGCATGTTTTTTTTATCATTTCGTTTGTATTTTTCATGTTAAAATGAGAGAAGGCGACCATACTTGACTAGGGGATTGAAGTAGTCAGCGGTACTCCGACATAAGCCTTTACTGCCCCTAGTGGCTAAATATAGGCAATAAATAAACGAATAAATAAATAGATAGATAGATAGATAGATAGATAGATAGATAGATAGATAGATAGATAGATAGATAGATAGATAGATAGATAGACTGTTGTTGTTAACATATTTTGATTCAAAAAATAATTAACGGCCATTTTTCTCTCATTATAAATTAATGTAATTAAATAAACAATTTTATGTTCATATAATTTTTTATTTAATCGCGCAATTATGATGTGCTAAATGACAAAAGGGTTTTTGTTTTTCATTTAAATGTGTAAGAAAAATACATCGAATTCTTAATTTAAATGAAGCAACTTCATAATTCATTTTCATGATTTATTTTATTTGTCATTATTTATTTAATTAAATCAATATATTATGTACATGCGAAATGAGTCAATTATTTAATGAGATCAGTGAATAAAGGTTGAAATAAAACTTTAAGTTTAATATGACAAACTGTTTATTTTAACAAAATCGTCATTTTTCATTTTTATTGTCTTATTTCTAATTCATTTTTAGAAATGTAATGTTCAAACATTTATTTGAGTATTTTCAATTGGATCGATGTGTGGATATTTATTTTAGAACAGTGAGAAGTAACGCCCTAAAAAGGGCTGTACCTTATTAAATCCATGGACTTAAGGTCCATCAGATATTTTAGAGTTGTGCCTTGACTGACGAGTTGTTTTTATTCTGTGACCAGATGTGTAACTCAAGACACTTGAGTCTCAAATCATCTTTCCCCATTGAAATGCCATTCAGAATGGCATTTCTATTAAGCCATTCCAGCCTCCCTATGAAACACCATCAGCATATGTTATCACACTTTTAATAGTACTTAAAAAAAACATACAGCGAAAAACAAATACAATGTAAAGAGTTAAACAGTTTGTGCATCCCGATGACTTCATTGTCTGGCTCCTTCTGGTGTGACCGCCTTGGCCACCAGGGAGAAGTACAATAAAGACATATCAGTATACTGTACATGCAGTGTGCGTGTGTGTGTAAAGGAGAAGAGAAGACCAAGTTATTATCAGCACCACGATAAAGTTTGAACAAAGCAATGACCAGGCTTTGCATAAATGGATTAAGTGATGTGCCTCGAGGCTTAGTACGGGTGAAACTATTCAACAGGTTGACTCCAAAGTTGCAAAGGTGCAGAGAGTTATGACACGGCATAAAAACAGTGACAAATTGAAATGTTCAGCCAAATGAAAACATGAGTACAGGTTCAGCTTACAAGAAAAAAAATAATTTGTCACTATGGATCAATTTGTTACAGATGGGGGTCATATGACATGACATGAAGATAGTCAGAATCTTCTGAAAAGTCATTTTGGGTACAATTCTGTGTGGTGGCCTGGATGGCCCAAAATGCTGTCCAATAGTATACAGAGTGAGGTGATGAAGTATTTTTGCTTTGGTCGTTTTTGAGAGATACTGTCTTAAAATAGTCTTGATGAGCTGAAACATCGAAGTATGATGATGATGATGATGCAAAAGAATGGCCACTAAATGAAATACTAAAAATAAGATGGAGGATTTAATTCATGTAAAAAAAATTGTCTGTGAATGCTGAAGAGATGACGCTGAATTGCAACACTGTGGCATTATTGTAAGAAATGTGGAAGGAGAAGAATTAGGTGAAATATCTCTGAATTGGGAAATTCGCACAATGTGATAAATATTGTGTACGTGAATGAGTTTAGCATTTTTACATTTGAATAGTTTCCATCAGTCAAGAAATGTGGAAGTAGGTGGTCCACATGTGAGATGTCTGCCTTCATTTGGAAGTGTTACTGTATAATCAAAAATGAGACTTAATGAAAAATTACTGAATTTGGGCAATGTGAAAAATAGTTCAGAAGAAGTATTGAATGAGCTTGACCGTTTGAAGTTGGAAAAGTTAAAAATTGGTTGGATAAATTATGAAATTTAATTTATACTATTATAGTTCTCAAGATAATGAGCTTAACAGTATGAGGGTGTAATGTTTTTTTAACTAGTCACGAAATGTGGAAGGGGTGGTAAGTATATAAAATATCTCTTGTGGATATTTGTTTCCTGGACATTTGAGAATTTGGAGAATGCAATCATTTGTTCCCAAGATATCTTGAGTGGTCTGAACTTTTGAAGTTGCAATGGTTTGAATTGGTCAAGAAATGTGGAAGGACGAGGAAAGATGTGAAATCAATGCATTTATTGTAACATGGAAAATGTGAAATAATGAAAACTATATGACGTCAAGGAATATGAAAAATAGTTCCCAAAATTGAGCACAACACTCCGAAAGAAAAATGTCTTCTCGAATGTGAATTTGTGGGG